CCCGGTCACAACCCCAGCAAACCGATGAAACACATACTCTATCTCGACGCCAACAACCTGTACGGCTGGCCATGAGTCATTATCGCCCCACCGGGCAATTCAAATGCGTCTCCTCACCCGAGATGATTGACGTGAATAGCTTTGCGCTGGATTCGAACAAAGGCTACGTGATCGAAGATGTCTTGGACTATCCCGTCGTTTACTATCGCAATCTGCAGCTGTTCTTGTCGCTGGAAATGAAACTCACGAAAATACACAGGGCGCTCCAGTTCGATCAAAGTCCATGGATGGAACCTTACATTCGGTTGAACACGACTTTGAAAAATACTAACTCGGTGTTCGGCAAGACGATGGGGAATTTGAGAAAACGTGTTAACGTGAAATTAGTCAGAGCCAGTGAGGAAGAAAAACTCAGGAAACTTATAGCCAGCCCGGCGTTCAATCGAAGCAAGATATTTGACGACGACTTGGCAGCGCTGCACATGAACAAAAGCCACATCAAATTCAACCGGCCCATTTACGTGGGGATGAGCATCCTCGACTTATCCAAACACTTGATGTACGATTTCTACTACAAGGAGCTGAAAAAGTAGTACGGCGACAGGTGCGAAGTGCTGTACACAGACACAGATTCCCTGCTGGTGGAAATTCACACCGAGGACCTGTACGAGGACATGAAGAAACACATGCACCTGTACGACACCAGCAACTACCCTAAAGATCACCCTATGCACAGCCAAGTCAACAAAAGAGTGCTCCGCAAGATGAAGGACGAATGCGCACGCACGCTGATCGTCGAGTACATCGGCTTGAGACCCAAGATGTATTCCATCAAGAAAGCCAACGACGATGAAATCCAAAAGGCGAAAGGCATGAAGAAACACGTGGTGAAAAAAGACATCAAGCACGCCAGATTCAAGGAAGCCCTGTTCAAGAATAAAACGTTCAAACACCAAATGAACATGCTGAGAAGCGACGGACACAGAATGTATGGACTGAGAATCAACAAGACCTCGCTGTCTCCCATGGACACGAAACGATGGATCGCCATCGACGGAATCACCACTTACGCGTACAGGCAGAACGCGTATCGAATAATTGAATGCTTATGCACACATCGTACATATATCATAGAGAAAATGTATTACAGCCCTCGAGGGTACTGGAAAGGCGCAGACGCCATCCCGAAACTCGCCAAAGCCGCTCGAGTCTCGGAAGAGAAAGCCAAAGCCTGGCTTAAAAAAACAAGCCATCTGGCAAGTCTACCTGCTGGCACCTCGATACATCCCGAGAAGAAACTTTGACATTTCAATGCCGAATCACGTCCACCAAGCCGACCTCCTGTGTCTCACTCACGACAGAATGAGGCACAAAACCTACAAGTACACCCTGACCGTCGTCGACGTCGCCAGTCGCTACAAGGAAGACGAACCGTTGACAACGAAAGATTTGAACGAGGTCGCCAAAGCCTTTGAACGCATATACAAATGCAGTCGCTTGACATGGCCTACCGTATTGCAAGTCGATCCCGGACGCGAGTTCATGGGAGCCATCTTACAGCTGCTGGCCAGGCACAAAGTCCAAGTGAGACGAGGTATAGCGGGAGCTCACCGTAGCCAAGCCATCGTTGAGAGATTCAGTCGCACCCTAGCCGAACGCCTGTTCTTGCACCAATACTCACAGGTTTAATGGATCCCGGAAACAGAAACACGGAATGAGTCGTATGCTTACCGCGAGTGGTGGATGCCATCAACAACAAAGTCACCAGACTCGCGGGCAAGAGACCCCTCGAAGCCATCAAAATGAAATCTGTCGAATCGTCGTCGGCAGCAGCACGTCGCGATAAAACAGAGAAAACATTACCGGACCGGGTCAGCGTTAGGTACTTGTACCAGCCGGGAGAATACCAGGGAGACAGCAGAAAACGCGCCACCGATCCGATATGGTCCATGAAAACGTACAACGTAGACCATGTTGACATCAAAGACGCCGAACCGAACTTGTACTACTTGAAAGACGGACCGCCGAGAGCATTCGTCAGAGAGGAGTTGATGATCGTACCTCACAACAGTCCCCTTACACATCACCCACCGTGTGATGATAGTTTCTCGTCATGATTTTTTATCAGTCTTGCATGCCTATTTTTCTGCTTAATGCAGCCAGCCAGCCAGCCAGCCACCTGTACACCAAGCCAAGAGAGACACACGCACACGCACTGCGCCTCGTCCGCCCACGACGCTCCGAGGAGCAACCACCCCCGAGACGACCCGAGCCTTTTTCCCAACCGACCCCATGCTCACTTAAAAGTCACTATTTCAAAAACTATTCGACCGATTTTCATCATATTTTGCACGCACCTCAGTAGTAGTATACACATTGGGGCTACGGGATTAGGGAAATTGTAAATTGAGCCCTTGGGGGGTGGACCTGGTCCCGTAGCCCCATTGTGTATACTACTGGAAGTCCTAGGGTATTAATGAAACCATTAGATAAGAAATACAAAGACTTAACTGGGTGAAAAAGCGCGGAATTCCGTCATCACTGATGAAAGATGCACAAAAAGAAAGACGCTTAAACTGGTGTCGGGCACACGAAAATCAAGATTGGGATAATATTTTCTTTTCTGATGAAAGCACTGTCTGGCTTTTTCCGAAGTGTGAAAATTTGGACCAGAGATATCCTGTGAAACTCTCAACCAACGCCCAGAACAGCCCGAAATTTCACATGTGGGCTGGGATATCATCACGTGGAGTGACGCCGTTGTGTATTTTCACTGGAAATGTAACTAAGGAATGATAGGTTGTGTTGACATCTTTTAAAAATGATCAACTCCTTCCAACGCCCCGAACACTGTATGAAGATAATTGGATTTTCCAGCATGATAACTACCCAAAACACACTGTGGGCTACACAAAACAGTAGTTGTCGGACGAAAATGTTCAAGTTATAGACTGGCCCAGCTACAGCCCAGATCTTTACCCTATTGAGAATGTGTGGGTACTAATGAAGGACAGAATAAACCAAAAAGGACTTAGAAATATTGAGGATATGAAGAAAGAAGAGGTCGAATATTGGGATAGTCTGCACGATTTCCTACAAACTTAATATTGATCGGTAGTGTACCTAGGCGCATTCGGTCGTTTATTGCAGGGCAAGGAGGTCTCACAAAGTACTGAAAAGACACTTAGGCTGTAAGAGAATCATATCTCAACATATTCATTTAAGTAAAACTTCTATTGTTTATGTATACACCATAGGCGGATCCAGAAGGAGGTGTAGGGGTGCGCAACCCCCACCCCACACACCCCCACACCCCTTTTTGTCCTGAAAGTTTATTAAATGACCATTGAAACTCGGATGAAAATGACATGTGCATCCTCCCTTTTTCTCAATAGTATGCACACACCAACACCCACCACCCCACCCCCCCACCCACACCCCACCCTTTCTAAAAAGCTGCATCCGCCCCTGTACACATGTATTAGATACTTGCCGAAACAACTTTCTCACTAATTTCTGGGAATACTATAAACGTATCAGTATGTACACATTATTGTCTGTTATAATTAATACTATTTGTTTGTATAAAACGCGGGATACATCGAGGTAACACATGTCAGTATAAACATATTATTGTCTGTTATAATTAATACACATTGTTTGTCTATAACGTGGGATACAACGAGGTAACACATGTCAGTATGAACACATTGTTGTTTGTTATAATTAATACACATTGTTTGTCTAAAAAAACGAGGGATACATCGAGGTAACTGTTATAATTGTCAGTATGAACACATTGTTGTCTGTTATAATTAATACACATTGTTTGTCTAAAACGTGGGATACATCGAGGTAACACATGTCAGTATGAACACATTGTTGTCTGTTATAATTAATACACATTGTTTGTCTAAAACGTGGGATACATCGAGGTAACACATGTCAGTATGAACACATTCTTATCTGTTATAATTAATACACATTGTTTGTCTAAAACGTGGGATACATCCAGGTGACACATGTCAGTGTGTACACATTGTTGTCTGTTATAATTAATACACATTGTTTGTCTAAAACGTGGGATACATCTAGGTAACACATGTCAGTGTGTACACATTATTGTCTGTTATAATTAATACACATTGTTTGTCTAAAACGTGGGATACATCGAGGTAACACATGTCAGTGTGTACACATTGTTGTCTGTTATAATTAATACACATTATTTGTCTAAAACGTGGGATACATCGAGGTAACACATGTCAGTATGAACACATTATTGTCTGTTGTACAACTGACATGTGAGTGAGGAGGGAGGGAGCGAGCGAGTATGACCTTCCCACGAATGAGAGTAGCTGAGCTGACCGGTGGCTCACTTTCAAATAGTCATAGCACGGCCATAGCTAAAATTAACTGAATAGTAATATTTCTGAAACAACACTAACAACACGGTGCTGTTATTCACAGAGAGAATACAACTAAGGGACCGTTAATAATTTATGGCTGTGTGTGTGATGATGATTTTAAAGGGGGGAGATTTCACCCATTTTGTTCTTGGGAGCTAGGGGGTCAGCAATTTTGTACACACATACTAGTGGGGGTCAGCAATATTGTACAATTTTAGGGTGTGTGTGTGTCGTTCACACTGTACATGCTTCACCATACATCATCATCATCATCATCATCATCATCATCATCATCAACACACACACACACACACACACACACACACACACACACTATAGCCATAAATTATGAACGGTTCCTAATGTCAGATAGGCCCTCTGTGTACTGACATGTAAATCGTCTATGCAGTATGAATGGTCCCCTCTAAGGGAAATGTATTTGACCATTGTAGGTCAGTGGGGAGTGTACGTGACTTTACAGTCGTCGTAACGCTTCAACTGTTCTGCGCAAGTCAGGCAACAGTATAGCTACACAATCTGGGCCGTTTTGATTCATACTTCTAATGCCGTTTTGGTGCTTGGCAGTTTTGATTGCTGCACATAAATAAAAGCCAGTTCGATCGTTACAACACGTGTGTGCAAGAAGATGGCACAACATGATAACAGTCAAACACCTAAAGACAAGAAAAAGCTGAAACAAATTCAGACATTGATTAAGGGTGGGCGTCTTGATGTGAAAGGTAATCTTTGTCACGGTGATGATACAAATTATTGAATATGAGGTGAAGTATGTCTCACGCGGGCAGCAATGTGAACAGAAGTGATGTAAGGAAGGATAAACAATATATGGATGAACAATGTAACGTCTTTATTACAGTGAGACTAGTGAGAGGGACGTTTCAATGTAGCTTCTAACACCGTTATTAAGCATGTGATGAACAGAATGAGGATAGAGAGTCATACAAGTGTTAGGAGATGTTTGTACAGCACAATATGGCGATTAGGACTGCAAAAACCTGGGGAAGCCAATAACAACACATAGCCTGAAGTAGATCACCTCCTCACATGTATATACATGCCTCTCTATCTTCATTCTGTTCATCACTTGCTTGATAACTGTGTTAAAACCAGTGTTTGAAATAAGGCCCGTCCGACCGCGCGAGACGGGCAAGATTTCTGTCCGACGGTCCGAATTTACAGCAAGCCTGCCCGATGGTCTGGTAATTTTTTTAGATGTTCCATACATTTGAGTAAATTCATCATATTTGGTCTGGTTAAATAACATTTTGAAGTTACCAGCCCTGATGACTGGCTGGATTTTTGGCTTACAGTGAAATGTTGCTGAAGGGGTCGTTGTCGGCACAGGTACTACAGATATGTACCCCAGGTAAGTTTCAGTAATGTACCCTAAACAAAGTCAAAATACAGAAACGTACCCGAAACCTTACACGGACGACGAGTCCATATTTTGCAACCCAAAGCCGAAACTGTATGTAGTTGTTCCCGTTCAACTGATTGCAAATGGTATTGTGCTCCGCGAAATATTCGTTACCGTGTATGGTGGTTTCTTATAGAACACAATCAAATGCATCTAATTCAACTGTATGACAGTTCCAATCAAGAAAACAACACACTGCGGAATGGAATGGTCCAAGGGTACGTTTCTGTATTCCGATTTTGGCTAGGGTACTTTTCTGTATACAGAAACGTACCTGGGGTACACATCTGTAGTACCCCTGCCGACAATGACCCTTTCTGCTGAAATGTTGCTCTCTCTGTAATAAAGAAGTTGTTCATCCATTTGTTGTTCTTCCTTAGTGCTTCAACTTCTAAAAGACCTGTGAAGATGTCGTTAGAATTGATTTTCAGTAACCCATGCTTGTCATAAGAGGCGACTAACGGGAGCGGGTGGTCAAGCTCGCTGACTTGGTTGACACATGTCATTACATCCAAGTTGTGTAGATCGATGCTCATGCATTGTCAGGTCCAGACTCGATTATTTACAGACCGCCGCCATATGGCTGGAATATTGCTGGGTGTGTCGTAAAACTAAACTCGCTCACTCACTCCAACTTCTAAATGCCTCCCAAACAAGTCGAAGTGATCTAAACAGTAGGAGATCATGGTGAAACAGACACTCTACCCAGTACACCAAGATCAGAGTTGAAATAGGTCCTACCTATAGTAAACCAATGCTCTTGTTATGGAGGAACACAGGATTTCAAGTAATTATTATGCTTCAAATAGGCTGGTTAGTTGAAGATATGTCTACCCTTCACAATGGTACCTGTTTTTGGCTTCCAACAATATAGTTGGCATATAGTTGTATAACTTCGTATATATACTTGTGGATTTATTTGTTGTTAGATAATTTGTTTATTTGAACCATTCCATGTAGATAGTTAATATCAACATTACATTGTGAAAACTGTACTTGATTTCTCCCTGTTTTGTTTACTAGAGTTGAAGACATTGAAGAAACTTGAGGCCAAAATACAGAGAAGGCTGGCTGCTGATCTGACGGATGGTAGTGAGATAGAGGATACAGGTATCAGAAGGGGAGAAATAGTCATCATAAATGTCATGAAACTAAAACAAATTCAAAAGGAGGGCATGAATTATGCTGAACTTTGCTCCTTGTTCTGTTTTGTGTGGCGTGAGGGCTATTTTGTTATCCAGCTGCATGTGGTCATATTAAAACAGCTGTGTAATTACATTTGGTCCACTAGCACACCGGGCCTACTGGCCAAGTATGGCACAGTTAGTCTGTCTCTATGTAGTTGTTGCAGTTGTCCCTTGACAGCTCTGTGGTACTTACACATCATTGATTGAAAGTGAAACAAAATCTTTACTGACTGTTGTAAGTGTACACATCTCGTTTTGCACTAAGTGTAGAACAGACAAACTTGGAATATTTCTCAAGAGCAAACAGCATTGATGGGTTGTCAGCCTTTGATAAAATTTTATTGTTTACAGTGCTGTATTTTGACTCGCTTACAGTTTCAGCAATTACATCTACTGGCAGTCTATACAAAAACTGAGTGTGGACCAGACAGTCTAGTGACTAGCCTAACCACACTATTCTGTAAATTGTCTCTCACAACAAGCATGGTCAGTTCTTATGAGTTTGGATTGCATTGGTTGCTGAAGATTTTGACGTGGATCTTCACGAGTCCAATCCAGTTTCGGCTGCTATGGTGCTACAGTAGTGAGGTAATCAGTAACATCACAGACGTTGAACACGCTCTGTAGCCATTATTTTGATGAGGCTGACCTTTTTTCAGGTAAAGAGGTAATAAGAAAAGCTGATGGTTCCGGCAGAAAGAGAAAGCCATCAAAACCTCTAGAGATCAAAGGAGCAGGTGAGTTGGTTTTTGGATTGAACAAGTTTTCTTGTATTTTCTTAGCAAGTACTAGTATTTAAAAATATTGTGATCTTAGATTTGTCGTCATCAATGAACCTTAGGGGCTCTGGCACAAATGCCACGAAAGTGTTTGTCAAATTGAGAAAAATCCCAACAATATTTTCTTGCAATGTCTAAATGATCATGGCCGTCTGGGGTGGTGGGGTAGCCTAGTGGTTAAAGCGTTCGTCGTCACGCCGAAGACCCGGGTTCGATTCCTCACATGGGTACAATGTGTGAAGCCCATTTCTGGTGTCCCCCGCCGTGTTATTGCTGGAATATTGCTAAAAGCTGGCGTAAAACCAAACTCAGTCAGTTTGTCATGGCCGTCCACAGTGGCTTGTGGGTCAGTGTTATGTTACAGGTAATTGTGACGAGTGGTTGCTTCAGTTGCTGCTCCCTTGTGTACACAAGTTTAACACTTTGGACTCGTTGTGATTTATTCACTTGTTGTTTGTAAGTTAAGGTCATGAGAGTCAATATAATGTTCTCTGTTTGTGCTGAAGTAATAGCTATTGAAAAACCTCTTCAATATTATGTATCAAAATAAAATATAGAATTTTTTCTTAACCTGACTCATGATCTTTTGCTTATCTCCCTTTCTTTTCAAATGGTAATGGAACACTTGAATCCCTTGAAGTTCCCGAAGCGGACGTAAAAATACATTCACCCACGAGTTACCTCCCTTTTGCCCTTTTCCCGCACAAACAGTCATGTGACCAGCCTTACTTGTCACTCTCTCCCTTTTCGCCCAAGTGGATGGTTGGGTGAGCACTCGAGTCCCATATACGGCATTATATACTTTTTATTTAGATCCTATTCTTTAAAATTACGCTGTGTATGGATTTGGCAATAACTACTTTGTATTATATGTAAACATTTTGTAAAAATTATTTGTATTTGTGTCATAATTTCATCGTTATGTAACTTTGTTTACATTTCATGAAATCTTTCAGTGGTTGCAGGCACAGGTTATCCATGGCTGATCCTCACCCCCAATGCCCCTCTTGCATAAAACCATGTTCTTCCAGCTTGCGCTGTACTTATTGTGTTGATTTATCAATCTACAATTGATGATGACCATGATGGAACGCAGGTTCGAGGAAGAAGCGAAGGCGCGGCGAAGCCTCTCATCTACCGACACTGCGCGCAAACCTACGGACCTGCGCGAACCTACTCCTCAGGGAACTACATCTCAAGACTACGTTGGCGAACGTACACCTTTGCGAAGGTCTCCACAGTCGGACGACTCTGTCACCTTGGAGGAGGATAGAAGACATGAGATGTCTACTCATCATTCTACATCTGCGAACCCTCAACGTTCGAGAACATCGAAGGATCCATCTCCTACACCTAGCCGCTCTAGATTTAGATCTCAGACGTTCGCAAAGAGAAAGCTCACATCACAGAGGTTCGCAAAAGGATACATCTAGCGACAGACGTTCGCGAAGAGAGAGCTCACTTCACAGAGGTTTGCGAAGAGATGAATCTACAGATAGAGGTTCGCGAAGAGAGGACTTTCAAGATAGACGTTCACGTAGGGGGGAAGCTGCAGACAAAGGTTCGTGAAAGGATGATGAAGGTTCGACAAGGGATACAGGTTCGCAGATGGATGATACGCGGAGGCCTAGCTCTAATAATCAGGAGACACTAGATGAGCAAACAGAGGTTACAGCTTGGATTGCCTACAGGTTGAACTTGGAGTCTCCTTCTAAGGATAAAGATGAAGTCTACACTTATATGATGCGTAACGACGACTTTGACTCTGTCACTATCCCTCCTATTGAACCTATATTCAGGGTACCCGCCAACCTTCGCACAGCTTTCACGAAAGCATCCACGTACCAGAGTCAGCATCTGCCATCATTTATTGTGAAGAGATTCCCTCTACCAGAGCTCCAGATAAGATTTAGCTCATGTGGGTACTGTACCCACTGTATTTTTTTGGGAGGGGGTATTATGAATGTTGAGTGGGTATTTCATTTTCCATTACCCACTGCTTTTAAATATGTGTGTATTTCAGTCATATTACTCACCTAAGTATTATGTCATTGAGTAAGTTTACTAAGCAGGTATGTTCTGCCTTATGTCATACCTAATCAAAACCAAGTTAAATATAATGGAAATGATTTCATAAGAAATCACTCATCCTATACTGACAGTACAACAGTTGTCCCATAAAAACAGTACAACATGATAGCAATCGATGTCTTTTTCATTACGCAAGCGATTTTTATAAATATATTCCGTACGCATTTGTTTTAAACTTTTTGCGTATCTAACATTTTAAATGCGTAATTGGTACGCAACAATTATTTTTCAATGCGTAATTGGAAATTTTCTATGCGTATTTTACCTGGATACGCAGCTTATCTGGTCCTCTGCTCTACATCATATGGATCCATTTACAAAAGCGCCTGAATGGGATGATAACATAATGTTAGTCAACGATTCCCGGAACAAGATGAATAAGGTAGAAGATAAAAAGTTATCGCAACTTGATACTGCTACAAGGAGATCCTTCTTCGGGTTGGCCAGGTCCAGAGCTATCAATGAAGCATTGATCAATAAATTCCAGAACTCAAGTTCGGAAGAGGAGAGAATGATATATTCAGCGCTCATAACTCAGAAGAAGGACCAATACTTTTTATCGGACCATCTGGCATCTATATCTGCAGGTCTCACTTTACTACGCAGACAAGGGCTACTTGCATCCTGTTCATGGAGTGACAGATTCACCCAACCGCTACTGAGAGCTCCATGGGAGGAGCCTACTATCTTTGGAGGACAAATAGACGAGGCAGCTAAGGAAGCTACGCACGATTCTAGAGAAGTTATGATGATAAGATCCATAGATACTCTGGCCAACGTCATCCATCATACTTCGCAAAAGTATAACAGCAAGTCCAAATATTCTGGCATACAGAAGGCAAAGGAGAAGTACTCCAGCTTCAGAGGCGGCAAAGGATCTTTTCGTCACCCATCCGGACTGATTTACAACATGCGCAAATTCAACAAAGACTATCTACTGAAACCAGACAGGTTCAGAATGATCCACCTACCTCAACTCAGACTACTCGTCCGTCCAGCAGATTACATGGCCAGCATAGACCTGAAGGATGCGTACCCACACATCCCCATATGTCTGGAATCAAGAAAGTATCTACTATTCCTATTCAGAGGGCAGTACTTCCAATGGAATGTCCTACCGTTTGGAATATCTTCGGCTCCATGGCTATTCACACGAGTAACCAAGCCTATAGTCACATATCTACATCATCGAGGCCTACGCAATGCCTTTTACTTGGACGACAGAATTCAGGTTCACCAAGATGCCAGTCAACTCAGACTACAGCTGAACTTCACGATCAAGTTGCTCACTCAACTAGGATTGCTGGTGAACCTAATGAAGTCAGAGTTGGAACCAAAACAAGATCTGCAATTTCTGGGGATAAGGTTTATCACAACACAGAATCGTATTGTCGCCCCAGAAGATTGTTAGGTCAAGATACAAGCCATGATTCCAGTAGCAGTCATCTCTCCGTTAACACTACGATCATGGCAAGTTCTACTCGGTCTACTAACCTTGGCGCAGGACTTGACTCGCACACAGGAAGGTTACAACTAAGACCGCTGCAATGGTTCCTGACAAAACATCTAGACAGCGGCGACCCAATTTTGCTTCCAGACAACCTCAAGAGGTATCTACTGTGGTGGACACACAGGTCGAACGTTTGCGGAGGGACCTATTTACAAGAGCCGACCTTCGACACACATCTCTATGCAGACGCTTCGATACAAGGCTGGGGTGTGCATCTCAACAATCAAGTTGCATCAGGAAGGTGGTCCAAAATAGAGCAGCATCTTCACATCAATCTGCTGGAGATGAAAGCAGTGATCAACGCCTTACAACTATGGTCGAGCTCGCTGAACAACAAAATGCTGATGGTCCACACGGACAACTCTACAGTGGCATTCTCCATAAATCGGCAGGGATCCACAAGGTCTCCAAGCCTGCTACAGCTCATATTCCAGTTGTTCCATATCACGGAGGAAGCAAGCATCTGGATAAAGGCGTGTCACATACCCGGGAGCCAAGAACGTACTTGCAGACGCTCTCTCCTGACCACTGCACCCAACACCTATGGAATGGATGCTCCATCCAGAAGCATTCCGGCTCATCATAAGGGAAATAGGATCCCCTTGCATAGACCTGTTTGCCACGTGGTTCAACAAACAACTACAGACGTTTGTCTCACCAGTTCCAGATCCTCAAGCCTGGGCAACGGATGCACTGAGCATATCTTGGGAAGGACTAAACGCTTACGCGTTTCCACCCCCGATATTACTACCGGAAGTACTGTTGAAGATCAAACAGACACAGGTGCTACAACTGACTTTGGTCGCGCCATACTGGCCAGCGAGAGTATGGTTCCTAGACCTAATAGAAGATCTCGGAAGTTCAACAATCAAGTTACCAGATTGGCCGAACCTACTCATACATCCGCACACCAAGCAAGTCCACGGGAACCCGACAGCGTTCCAGCTACATGTGTGGACCACATCAAAACATGTTTGAAGAAAAGAGGATACTCCACCAGGGCAGCCAAGGCAGTAACGCTAGCGTTATGCAGATCTACTCATAACTTGTATGATGACAAGTGGCTGAAGTTTGAGACTTATGCAAGGCGGAAAAGGCTTCATTGCGATGATAGCTACTCATCGTCAAGTGGCGGAATACCTGTGTAATCTTAGACAGACCAGACATCTGAAAGGTTCGACATTATCTACATACCTTGCTGCCATCAGTACTGTGATTACCATGGAAACAGGCATCAAGTTGACGAAAGTACCAGAATTACTTGCTCTGCTGAGATCTTTTAAACTGGAGGACCAGCAAAAGAAGTTCAGAGCTCCGGCCTGGGATCTGAATGTAATTCTACGACATCTTACGAGTGATGCCTACGAACCTCTAGACCAGACTACCTTCGAGCTGCTGACACAGAAGACTCTGTTCCTGCTTGCGCTGGACTTTGGTCGAACCAGATTCGACAGGGGGCAACATGCTGCAGTTCATCTAGGACTTAGATGGGACTTTATTGCCAAGAACCAACTACCTGGCCAGCCAGATAGACAGTTCCATGTACCAGCGCGCTATCTACAATCCTCGGACCAGATTATATAGAGCCGTCATATTGAGAGCCTATAAAGCAGCAGGACTAGAACCTCCTAGAGCTTCCAACCCACACGAAGTCAGAGCACTGGCGTCAACACTGGCTCTGCATGGAAATTGCTCTATATCTGTAATCATGGAGGGCTGCTTTTGGAAGTCGGACACGGTGCTTGCCAACCACTCCCTCCGAGACATAGCCACTGAAGACGTCTCAGGCATTCACCAATAACGGTTCCTCAAAGGCGCTGATTTGGAAAATATCACCCTTTATCACGTTGACTTGTTGATAACTTTTACTAAGGAAAGATATCAGTTTGAAATTCCATGCGCACAGTCTAGGACAGGCTAGCATGAGTGATTAAAGATCCTGTATGGGTAAAGATCTTACCTGTACTTAAAGGGGTCGCAACTCATTTATGATAAAGATCTTATCATAATCTATGGGTTGTTATAAGATATCTAGTAATAAGAAGATACTAGTTTATCTGTAGCCACATGAATCAACATGATTCAACTTGTCTGAGACTGAAGAAAGACAAGAAAGTGGTCCCCCCGAGTTATTACGGAAGTTGGAAGAATAGGATCACGGAAATGCCGTTTCGCAGTTCCCATGGGGGGATACAGGACGTATCAAAGGACAGCTGATGAATCCACGAAGTGGCTTGACCCACCACCAATCCGTCAGATGCTATAAGCAAAAGATCATGAGTCAGGATAAGAAAAAATATGAAATTTTTCAAGTAAAATTGATATTTTTATACTTATCTGACTCATGACGAGAAGCCCTCCCAACCACCCCGCTGGAAACACTTCGGATTTCACAGCAGATCCAAGTGCATGGGCAGAAAATCAGGAGAGAGTGACAAGTAAGGCTGGTCACATGACTGTTTGCGGGGGAAAGGGCAAAAGGGAGGTAACTCGTGGGCGAGTGTATTTTTACGTCCGCTTCGGGAACTTCAAGGGATTCAAGTGTTTCCACTACCATTTGAAAAGAAAAGGGAGATAAGCAAAAGATCATGAGTCAGGATAAGTATAAAAATATCAATTTTACTTGAAAAATTACATTATTAAATTTGGTAAAACCAAAAATGGCATGTAGCTGATTTTTATTTGAGTACACCATATTAATGGATGGAACAGGTGTGTCTTTGAGCACTTTCCATACATTCTCAGGTTTATTTATTCAGGTTTAACTATCAACACAAGCAAACAACAAACATTGAGGAAACTCTCTTAAGATAATCCTAAGTAAACAAAATTATTTCCCAGCAGTGTATGCTTGTTGAAAGTGGCAACTCAGTGAATTAGGTGATCAATGACTTGATTGTGTATTATCGTATCCTAATGATGCTATGATGTGGATTGATGCTCACATCATCATTGACTAGACTGTCTGGTTTGAATATTTAGATGTGGTTGCATATATCTAAGTAAATTATAATTTGTTCACTGGTGTCAAGGGGGACATGGACTGATGTACCCTCGATGTTTGAAGCACGGGTATTGGATCATAGTATGGAGTACCAGACGACAAGAAAAACAAGTTATCTCCCTTCCATCGATTTGCATTTGCAAAATATCGGTAATTTCCGTACATCATACGTGATTCAATGTTATTCGAGACAAAGAATTACTACTACGAAGTACCAAATGAGTTGGGCATTCCTAGCAGGGTACATAAAAAATGTTAGTCGCTTGTAAGCGGGGTACATTGAAAATAATAGAAGTGCGCTCAGCCAATCAGTAAACGACATTTATGTGTGAGGCAAGATAATGTTAAAGACAAAACAAACTGAATTTTTTTATCCCTGTTTTATTTGGATGACTAGTCAACCAGAAGCTTCTATTTAGGCTCTCTAGAAGAGTGAGTGAGTGAGTTTAGTTTTACGCCAATATCAATTTTACTTGAAAAATTACATTATTAAATTTGGTAAAACCAAAAATGGCATGTAGCTGATTTTTATTTGAGTACACCATATTAATGGATGGAATAGGTGTGTCTTTGAGCACTTTCCATACATTCTCAGGTTTATTTATTCAGGTTTAACTATCAACACAAGCAAACAAACATTGAGGAAACTATCTTAAGATAATCCTAAGTAAACAAAATTATTTCCCAGCAGTGTATGCTTGTTGAAAGTGGCAACTCAGTGAATTAGGTGATCAATGACTTGATTGTGTATTATCGTATCCTAATGATGCTATGATGTGGATTGATGCTCACATCATCATTGACTAGACTGTCTGGTTTGAATATTTAGATGTGGTTGCATATATCTAAGTAAATTATAATTTGTTCACTGGTGTCAAGGGGGACATGGACTGATGTACCCTCGATGTTTGAAGCACGGGTATTGGATCATAGTATGGAGTACCAGACGACAAGAAAAACAAGTTATCTCCCTTCCATCGATTTGCATTTGCAAAATATCGGTAATTTCCGTACATCATACGTGATTCAATGTTATTCGAGACAAAGAATTACTACTACGAAGTACCAAATGAGTTGGGCATTCCTAGCAGGGTACATAAAAAATGTTAGTCGCTTGTAAGCGGGGTACATTGAAAATAATAGAAGTGCGCTCAGCCAATCAGTAAACGACATTTATGTGTGAGGCAAGATAATGTTAAAGACAAAACAAACTGAATTTTTTTATCCCTGTTTTATTTGGATGACTAGTCAACCAGAAGCTTCCATTTAGGCTCTCTAGAAGAGTGAGTGAGTGAGTGAGTTTAGTTTTACGCCAACACAGCAATATTTCCAGCTATAGGGCGGCGGTCTGTAAATAATCGAGTCTGGACCAGACAATCCAGTGATCAACAGCATGAGCATCGATTTGCGCAATTAGGAACCGATGACATGTGTGTCAACCAAGTCAGAGAGCCTGTCCACCCGATCCCGTTAGTCGCCTCTTACGACAAGCATGGGTTACTGAAGATCAATTCTAGGCTGGACCTTCACGAGTCCTCTGTACAAGAAATATGCTTTTGACAAGGTGCTTTTTCACTAAGGTCAGAGGTTTTAGACACATGTTCTGGCTGTTCTGAACCTCAATCATTGTCCAGATCAAGATAAACATAGGAGTAAACCTGTACATGGAAGAAAATGACGGTAAACTGCTGACTGGCCATCAAACCGTTGGTACCATCACCAGGGAGGCCAGCACCAGAATATGGCATCTTGCTTCTTTTGTTGAAGACTAAGTAACATTCAGGTAATGGTTTTGCTTGGATTATGTTTGACCATGTCATCTTAATCATCACTAGAGTTGTTGAGCACAGTATTTTATTTGTGTTTTGTCTCAATATCTACTTCAGCATCTTGGCAAAATAAGAGGTGAGCTACAGTGTGTTTTGATTTAATTAAGATGACAACATACAATATTTCCTTTGCCCAGAAGCAGCCAAGAAGATCTGTACAGCTGCTGACGTCAGTGATAATGATGTCAATACAGATACTGATGATGGCAGCTCAAGCACCTCAGGAGAAGACGAGGGAGACAACTCCGTTCAGACAATGGAAATATCACAATGTAGGAATGAAAAGATTTGCCATGTTGATTAAGGTCACATATTGCTGGTAAACCTATAGAGCTCATTCCATGATTTAGATTTCCACCAGCCTCCTACTCGAGGTCATTTTCGGTTTCACTGAATTTTACCCAAAGTGGTTTCATTGTGAGTCCCTCCTTGGATGCAGATCAAAGTGGGGCAGATCCACCAGTATGAACAGGGTCAAATTGAGTACTTGTTTCCAAAGTATTGGTTTGTTGACAAGTATCAGTTTCAAGCAGATTCCACTTGAAGACAATTAGCAATGAATATTCTGATGGAAACAAACAAGGGAAAAAACAAAGGTACAAGTGTTCCTTTATTTATGCCCAGATTTTCACCCACAGTGCAATGCACAGAAACCTGAAATTGAAAATAGGAACACTTGTACTTTCATGTGTTCCCATACCCATGTCCATCACAATGGATTGTCATATTTTATTGTCATAAGTTATAAATTGAGGTGGAGTTAATATTACTCCATCTGAGTTCTAGCCACGAACAGCTGCATTATTTCTGATGCTATTTAAAGCAACATTTGTTGAATTTCAGTTTGCCTACCATATTGCTTGAATATTGCCACATGCAGTGTTAACAAACAATACTTCAGTTTATAAAGCAACACAACAACAATGAACCAGATGCTACATATATTATATTTTTATTTAATAATAATTTTGCATTCCACATAAAATCAGGTGGGCTACAGAATGTAATGACCTGTCAGTAGCCTGTCAGTAGCCTGTCATGACGGTCTGAGGAAATGTGAAACTGTGGTTATCTCCCATTTCAGTGCCAGGAAGCAGTGTTGGAGCTGGCATCGTGTCAGACATGTCGTTTGCAAGTCTGAAGGGCAAAGTGGCAGAAAACACCTTGAAAGGAATAGAAGATATGGGTTTCACCCACATGACCGAGATCCAGGCCAAGTCCATTCCACACTTACTGGAAGGCCGGTACGTGCTGGTCATTATGTCTTATAGATGCAGAGTAAATCCCAAGTTTACTTGTTCAATGTTTTGACCATGTAATGTGCACACACAGTAGAGAATGAATATTGTGTATCATGTTAAGGTTGAACAGTGTCGATGATAAGGTTGAACAGTTAAGAATTACCTAATGTACAGGGTTACGTCTAATGATCATCCAGATGAGAAGATATTTAGCAGGCTACCTTCTTGAAACCCTGTTGAAATAATCCAGATGTACTAACCAGGGAAGCTAGTCAGTTTGCTATTATGAAAGTCACTTGTCTTGACTATCTTCCATCACAGTCCAGCAGCGCCATTGCCACTCACATGTGTCAGAACCCTGGGAGGGTCGAACTCTGTCTTACTGCATTTATCACTATTTGAACCTGGATGTGTTAAGTTCCTGAGAGTCAAGACTTGCACTCATAAGTTGCATCATAACATCAGTAGCCGTATGGTGTCTGAAGAATTTGAATAAACTACATATAGACTGATAGTTGTAGATGCTTCCATTGGAGACAGCTGGTTGGACTGTATAGATCGTGAACATCACCAGTTGATATGATGAACACTTGCAGGGATCTCATGGGAGCTGCCAAGACTGGAAGCGGCAAAACACTGGCGTTCCTTATTCCTGCTGTTGACTTGATGTACAAACTCAAGTTCATGCCTCGCAATGGAACTGGGTGTATGGTTATCTCCCCAACTCGGGAGCTGTCCATGCAGACATTTGGGGTGCTCAAGGAGCTACTCAAGTACCACTGCCACACCTACGGACTCATTATGGGGGGCACAGATCGAAAACAGGAGGCCAAGAAGTTGGCGAAGGGAATCAACATACTGGTAGCCACCCCAGGCCGCCTACTTGACCATCTGCAGGTGGGTACACAGGGGACCATGAGAAGGGACGTTGAGGGTATGTGCATTCTGTAATGTTCATGTCAAACACTGCTGGAGGAGATATGTTCTGTTGTGTCAGAACACCCGACTTTAGCACTTGCCAGGTTAATAGTGGGGGAGTGGAAATGTTGGCCATGATATTTGAAGTGTAATTAATAATTATCTTTCAGAACACTCCAGACTTCATGTTCAAGAATCTCCAGTGCCTCATCATTGATGAAGCTGATCGAATACTGGATTTGGGATTTGAAGAAGAAATGCGACAGATTATCAAACTGTTGCCAAGTAAGATATTTCATATCCAGAAACAACATAGCGCTATTGACTTTCTTGCTTCTGTGCTATAACACATTGTTAAAATAGTTTACTGAGTTACCTCCCTTTGTCCAGACAGCAGAACATTGGATGATTTGGTTAATAGACAGTGTGCCGGTTCTCCCAAGATGTATTCACCTGCTTCCAGTGTTCGCCAATGTCTAATAAATCTTGACCCACTGTCTTGGGATCACAATGCCTGGCAGTCTCATGTGAAAGGCTTCATGCTTACCTCACCTCCTCCAGCAGAGCTATATAGTGCTATCTGTAAGCAATATAGTGGTAGAACTGCCACAAGAACAAACTATAAAGGAAACTTTACTTATTATTATGACTTTGCTTACAACTGCATGTAGTAAAGAAGACCCACAGACAGTATAGTAATGGCAACACAGGTGTTTGCTCCGACCACCCAAATGGTTAATGCAAGCCACAGATGATACAATGTCAATCAATTATTGAGTGTGTATGTTCAGCAAATGATTTTGATACAATCCAGGGCTATGCAATACTAAGTTATCTCCCATCTGATGAGGCATTTGGTCAGCCATTGTTCCAGTGCAGCACCTCTGCTTTGCTCTTGAATGTAGCACCCCACCCTGAGCTGGACGTTACTGTTGTTAGCTGACTTTGTCTATGGCTTTAGACAGTCACCATTCCAGGACCACTGTGCATCCTCAGGATTCTGTGTACTAGCTAAGTTATTCTTGTACTTTGTCAGAGAGACGACAGACCATGCTTTTCTCCGCAACGCCCACCAGAAAAACAGAAGATTTGGCCCGAGTGTCCCTGAAGAAGGAGCCATTGTATGTGGGTGTTGATGACCGGAAGGAATCTGCCACAGTAGAGGGCTTAGAGCAGGTGAGATGATGTCATGGGACGGGTGAGATGATGTCATGGGTTGGGTGAGATGAAGTCATGGGATGGGCAAGATGATGTCATGGGATGGGTGAGATGAAGTCATGGGATGGGAGAGATGATGTCATGGGACGGGTGAGATCATGTCATGGGACGGGTGAGATGATGTCATAAGATGGGTGAGATGTCATGGGATGGGTGAGATGATGTCATGAGATGGGTGAGATGATGTCATGGGACGGGTGAGATGCCATGGGATGTGTGAGATGATGTCATGGGACGGGCGAGATGTCATGGGATGGGATGTCATGGATGGAGATGAGATGTGAGATCATGGGATGGGTGAGATGCAGATGTCAAGGGATGGGTGAGAAGTCATGGGATGGGTTAGATGATGTCATGGGATGGGCGAGATGATTTCATGGATGGGCAAGATGATGTCATGGGACAGATGAGATGTCATGGGATGGGTGAGATGTCATGGGATGGGTGAGATGAAGTCATGGGATGGGCAAGATGATGTCATGGGATGGGTGAGATGATGTCATGGGATGGGCAAGATGATGTCATGGGATGGGCAAGATGATGTCATGGGATGGGTGAGATGATGTCATGGGATAGGTAAGATGATGTCATGGGATGGGCAAGATGATGTCATGGGACGGGTGAGATGAAGTCATGGGATGGGCGATGGGATGATGTATGTTTCTGGATTATGCTGTATGTTTTGATGCCAATCTGTATGTTTTGATGTCATGCTATCTGTTTCAGGGCTATGTTGTATCCCCATCAGACAGACGATTTCTTCTCTTGTTCACTTTCCTGAAGAAGAATCGTAAGAAGAAGATAATGGTCTTCTTCAGTTCATGTATGGCTGTGAAGTTCCACAATGAGCTTCTGAACTACATTGACCTCCCCGTCATGTGTATCCATGTATGTACAGGTCATAGCAGGTTCCTCTACCTTACATGTTGTATATCAAATATACATTAACAGCAGTGTATTTTCAAATTAAAAAATGGGGGAGGTGGGGTAGCCTAGTGGTTAAGGCATCTGCTTGTCACGCCAAAGACCCTGGTTCAATTCCCTACATTGGTACAATGTTGTGAAGCCCATTTCTGGTGTCCTCCATCATGATATTGCTGGAATATTGCTAAAAGCTGCGTAAAACCAAACCCACTGAAATGAAAATCATTCTGTCGACAGGTCCTTTGTAAACACAGGCCAAAGTTTGACTACTGGTTTGAAAGTTTGAAACTAGCTGTAATATATCTGTGGCTTCATAATATATAAAAATATCATTTTGAGAAAGGTTACTATGTTAATGTTGTGTTGTGTCTGTGGACATGATCACTGTCTGAAGACAGTAGATGATAGCATAACGCTGCACCTGATAGTGTTTTGCTCCAGTGCATTAGCGCTTACTTTAGAAATCATACTTTATTATTTCAGGGTAAACAAAAGCAAAGTAAACGAACACAGACATTTTTCCAGTTTTGCAATTCCAAAGAAGCTATATTATTGTGTACTGATGTTGCTGCACGTGGCCTTGATATCCCGCTTGTTGACTGGATCATACAGTACGACCCCCCAGATGACCCCAAGGTGAGATACACTTTTAACAACATAGCTGTCTGGTGTTGGAACCTCCTTCCACTCAGTGCTTGCTTATCTGTTATTTTTTGATCAACATAAACATAGGCAAAGATTGTTTTTCATATGTCAGAAAATCAAACTGTCGAGCATATGAAAGTGTAAGTATATTATTTTCCATGGCCAGTTTGACAAATGTGTCAATTACCCCCTTGGTTAGTCAAAGCCAAAATACTGTTTGACAGTGGAAGCAAGGGTAGGGGAACTGTAGCACTTCACAATGGCTCACTGACCTGTGAAGGAGAAGATGAAAGGTACATGAAATTGTGGTAACCCAGACACTGCCGTAGAGCTGTGTACTCTCAGTGTGTTCTTATATATTGTTTCCTCAGATACTGCTTGACTGATGAAGTTGATGTATAACATTTGTGTTCATCTGATGAGGACATGGTTGTTCCTTCTGATGAGGACATGGATGTTCCTTCTGATGAGGACATGGATGTTCCATCTGATGAGGACATGCATGTTCCTTCTGATGTGGACATGGGTTTTCCTTCTGATGAGGACATGGGTGTTTCTTCTGATGAGGACAGTCATGTTCCTTCTGATGAGGACATGGATGTTCCTTCTGATGAGGACAGTCATGTTCCTTCTGATGAGGACATGGATGTTCCTTCTGATGAGGACATGGATGTTCCTTCTGATGAGGACATGGATGTTCCTTCTGATGAGGACATGCATGTTCCTTCTGATGAGGACATGGATGTTCCTTCTGATGAGGACATAGTTGTTCCATCTGATGAGGACAGTCATGTTCCTTCTGATGAGGACTTGCATGCTCCTTCTGATGAGGACATGGATGTTCCTTCATGCATGTTCCTTCTGATGAGGAAATGGATGTTCCTTCTGATGAGGACATGGATGTTCCTTCTGATGAGGACATGCATGTTCCTTCTGATGAGGACATGCATGTTCCATCTGATGAGGACATGGATGTTCCTTCTGATGAGGACATGGATGTTCCTTCTGATGAGGACAGTCACGTTCCTTCTGATGAGGAAATGGATGTTCCTTCTGATGAGGACATGGGTGTTCCATCTGATGAGGACATGGATCTTCCTTCTGATGAGGACATGCATGTTCCTTCTGATGAGGAAATGGATGTTCCTTCTGATGATGATGTGGATGTAACTTCTAATGATGACGTGGATGTTCCTTCTGATGAGGACGTGGATGTTCCATCTGATGAGGACATGCATGTTCATTGTGATGAGGACATGCATGTTCATTGTGATGAGGACATGCATGTTCCTTCTGATGAGGACATGGATGTTCCTTCTGATGAGGACATGCATGTTCATTGTGATGAGGACATGCATGTTCCTTCTGATGAGGACATTATGTTTGCTTAAGTCATTGTGATATGAAATTATACTACATGAAAGTTTTGATATCATTGGTAAGAGCCCCAAGGCATTCACAACTTAACTTTTGTATGAATGTTAATGACAAGAATATGCATGCTTGTTAATGCTGGTAATATTGCAAAAATTGTTTTCTTCTTTATCTCACAACGTATTGCGCCAACTCTATTGAAACAGTGTGGACATAGCTAATTTGCAATATTTATTGCAGCAAACATGTATTGATGTTTGTCGTAATTCTTCATGAAATGAACACACATAATGACTTGCTATTATTACAAAAGGTAAGGAAAACTGAAAAATTCAATTATATCCAATTGTTTGTTTTAAGAAAACACATATCCAAGAGATTGGAACGTTGATATGAATAATAAGAAAAATAAATGTCATTTGGTCTGAGGTCAAGGTCACTAGCTGGTACTGTATATCGGCCAAGTACATGGTTGCATGTTCTTCAAATATGGAAGGATTTATAACTTGGTGTATGACTTCAATCTAGAATGATATAACTTCCTAGATGAAAAGAAAGGTATTGTTTGAGCTGCTCCAATAACTGCTGACGATGTAACATTTCAGGTCAAGAATTGTTGTCTCAGATACTGAAAATGTCTGTTGAAATTTGACTGTTTTTACATGTTTTTCAATACTTACATTCTCAAAATTGGCAGAAAATATTTTAACGTTTGAAACTGTTAACTCCTTATCTAGGTTAGCTGTGGTGGTTTGGAACTATATTTGCAATGTCAGTTTGTTTCTGTTTTTGAACACAAAACATATGGCACAAGACTGGGTTTTGTATTTTTGTAAATTCAAGCATGTTTTGTTGAACTCTAAATGAAGGAATTGACCTTGCAAGATGCAGTTGATATGTTTAGTGTGTAAGATCAGTATGAAGGATTTGGGGTAATATGTCCATAAGAAGATATTATGTACAAGAAACTTGCTTTAAAATGTTCCTAGTTGATGAATATTCCAAGAAATATTGCAGGAATACATTCATAGAGTGGGCCGAACTGCACGAGGTGATGGAGGCTGTGGACATGCACTGCTCATTCTTCGACCAGAAGAGCTGGGCTTCCTTCGATATCTGAAGCAAGCCAAAATTCCACTTCATGAGTTTGAATTTGCATGGAGTAAAATCTCTAACATCCAACCTCAGGTAAGTCACAGTATTTTCCCCTTCGTTGTACACTTTGTATGAGGGCAGTAGAACTGGATTACTTTACAATCAGTTTATTCATGATGGCTCACTTGTGCCTTCTTAGTTTGTCTCGTGACTAATTCTCAGTTTCTGCTGTTAGATTCTGTCAGGTGCTTCATATTTGTGCTGCAAGTGCTGCACCTGAACTTGGTATTTATTTTGATTGAATCCGTTATTTCACAAGTTTATTAAGATTGAACAGACTTAAATCAATAAGTTTAAGAGATCATATTTTCAGAATACCAAAGGCTCTGAAAGTTGAAAGTTTTGTATACATGTTAATATCTGTAAGATATCACTTCAGTTTGATCCACTGTGAATCAGCTCATTGCAATTTAAAAAAACTGAAGGTAATTATTTGTTATTTCAGCTGGAGAAACTGATATCACAGAACTACTTTCTACACAAATCAGCAGACTTGGCTTACAAGTCTTATGTTCGGGCATATGCAAGTCATAGCCTCAAACAGATATTTGATATCAGCACTTTGGACCTCAAGAAAGTGGCTCTCTCCTTTGGCCTGACAGTTCCTCCACAGACCAACATGGGTATCCTTTTGACTTACTAAGCACACATCTGCGGGCCACAGGAACACATGGACGATTACTTACATTAGTTGCTGGTCTGCTCTCCTCGCATCTCACATCCACACACATGTTATGTTTTATTAAGTGAGTTAATATTTAGTGTCACATCGGCAATATTTCAGCCATATCGTGACTATGTTTTATCAAAGTCTGACGGTACAGTTATCATAGTGTAGCACAACTATACAGTAATGTTGGAATAGTGTTAAGAGTCTTCAAGAAGTAAGCTACTGGGATTAAATATGTTGGTTGTGTGACCATGGAAAGTTGTCTGGACATTTACTGATAAAACTGGAAAGAGAACTCCTGGAAATACATTCAACACTCTTATTAGACTTGTTCTGCATTGGGGAAGGGCGTGGAATATGGGTCACACCAGGTTTAGCTTTCATACCTAGTTGTTATGACTAACTTATGAGAACCTCTATTAAATATCCTGTTGAGAGTCGTGAGGCCCAGTTGCAGTACACAATGACATGATTCCTATATATGGAATGATCATGGGTTTGTATCTGGCTTCACTCAGACTGGTTGGTTCTAGGCCTGCACCGACATACCTGTGCCTGTGCGTTTCACCATAGTGGTAAACATTTGATACCTGCATCACTTCAGGCTTTCCCTTCATTAAGCCAACATGATGTGATGTTAATGGAATACTGATCAAATCAGTGTTAAATTTAACTCACTCACTCACTCACTCCATATGGAATGAGAGAACTTACAGCAGATAAACTTAGTGTTTTCAAAAGACTTTTGAAATCATTAATGAAAATAATTAACAAATGTCATGCAGAATGATTATATATTTGTTTTCTGCCTCCAAACTATGTGTTTGAGTGTATTGGGTGCCATAAAACCCGGGTTACAGGCTGTAGTGGTCAGTCTAGGACGGCCATGTAGCCACTGTAGTAACGGTGATTCATGTACAGTGGTGTAAGTGTTACTGGAAATAACAACATGATATTTGGTCATTTGTCTGATTAATGTTTTATGTCAACACTTTCTTTAACAAAGCTCATACTAGTTCATTTGAGACTACATGTACATGTGTATGCAAACCTTTTTTTTCCTTAATACAATGCTCCAGAATTAAAGGGAAGGGCATCCTTACGTCGAGGACGTGAAGAATCATATGGTTATCGCAAGGACAAGTTTGGAAAGAAAGCAAAGATGTTCAAACAAGTTGGTGGTAGACCAAAGAGGTAGATGTGAGGTACACCAAGACTGATTTACAGCTGTGATGTGTCACACTGGCGGTCTATACAATGAAGTGTTGACATGGCTGTCAAGAAAGTGATGTGTCCAGTTGGCTTTCTAGACAGTGATAAGCCGGCTGTCTAGACAATGATGTGTCCAAGTGGCAGTCTAGACAATGATGTGTCCAAGTAGCAGTCTAGACACAGATGTGTCCAAGTGGCTGTCTAGACAATGATGTGTCCAAGTGGCTGTCTAGACAGTGATGCGTCCTAGTGGCTGACTAGACACAGATGTGTCCAAGTGGCAGTCTAGACACAGATGTGTCCAAGTGACTGTCTTGACACAGATGTGTCCAAGTGGCTGTCTAGACACAGATGTGTCCAAGTGGTTGTCTAGACACAGATGTGTCCAAGTGGCAGTCTTGACACAGATGTGTCCAAGTGGCAGTCTAGACACAGATGTGTCCAAGTGGCTGTCTAGACAATGATGTGTCCAAGTGGCTGTCTAGACAGTGATGTGTCCAAGTGGCTGTCTAGACAGTGATGTGTCCAAGTGGCTGTCTAGACAGTGATGTGTCCAAGTGGCTGTCTAGACAGTGATGTGTCCAAGTGGCTGTTTAGACAGTGATGTGTCCAAGTGGCTGTTTAGACAGTGATGTGTCCAAGTGGCTGTCAAGACGAGACTAGACTGTCCATGTGGCTGTCTTAACTGCTGTTCAGACAGCAACACAAATTTCATTATCATTATATATTTGCTGCTGCTGGACTCATTATGTCATTAAAGAATCATAACTTCTTTATGGTTTTACTTTGTAATATATACCAGTAGTCGAAAATATATCTGCTTCATTAGCTATTTTTGACTGAGTGTAAATACAAGTGACATGTTGAATATATCTGTGCTTCATTAGCTGGTGTATCAGTTTAGTACTGTATTGGTATATATACTAATGTGATCTGTCCAAGCTATGGGTGGATGACAAATGGATTCAAAGATTGTAGTCTCCTGGGAACTGGCTGTCCTAACAAGAAATGAATAATACATATTTTATCTTGCTGACTCAAACTGTGTAGCAGTGTCATATGTGACAGTAATCTTGAAACATGCACTTGAAATGCGCTACCTGTGTAGATCTGGCACACACCGACACTTGTGAGTTTATCTATACTGCCACATATTTGGTTGTAAACATAACCCAATTGAGATGGACAAGCTGAAAGCTGATTTATACTGATGGGTGATATAAGAATAAAGATTGTTAATGTATGGAGTGAGATTGTGATTGTGGGAAATGGACGCATTCTTCATTGCCATCCAGCTTGTGCTTCACATGCAGCGTTGATCAAGTGATTGGGGATTATCAATACCACAGATAAGGGGTACATGTTCTCAAGGGTACAGATGTACCTGTTGTTGCCATCTGACAAGGGAGAAGTTTAGTTTAATCTTCTAAAGTCTTGGGCTCTAACCTAACAGCCCACACAACACATCAGAGGCCTCAAACTGTCACTGCTCCACAATTTATCAACTGCAGATTTGATTCCATCGCTGAAGAAATCATCCGGAAGTTTCAACATTCAACCATCAGCGTAGCATCCAGACTAGGAAACATGCAGCCTTCTAGCAGGTTCACAAGCATTCGCTAATGCATAGATGTGTAATTCCAGGGCGGATCTCTCTTCTCAGCCCAATTTTCATAATGTAAAGATGAACATACCTTATGCCAGAAGGCAGGGGCAGCCCTTGTCATTCATGAATACTGAAATTCCTCACCCTCATCCAAATTGTTTCACCCTTCGTTTCTCAATATTGTATACATAACTGAATGTAATGCTAACCCCAGTTCCAGTAGTTTTATCTGATGAAGTTGGTCCAAAAATTGGAAGTTTGAGCAGGCTTGTGGCTCCAACTTGAAGCAATAGGGTATAAGTTTCATTTCCTACAATGCCCATCTCTTGACGTCTGTCCCGTGGGGCATCGATTCAGTCTAGTCGGAGCTAAAGTAGCAGCCGTAACCATGTTCATACACAGGCCACCAGACAAGGGAGCTCCACCTCATTTAGAACTGGACACCATTAAGGGATTTTACTTTCCATTAACAAAGAAAAATACACAGGAAATGTGCATAATGATCAATAGCAATAAAGACACTCTGTAGGTCCCCACTTACCTGAGGTGCCAACCTAATCTGTACTTCCAAGTTTATTGTTCTACAATTCAGCTCATTGCAGGCATGTTGAACATACTAGCAGATTGCCTGGCAGTGTTATACTGCCATTCTATTATAACATAACCTGGACTCGTCGCCAAAGTTTGGTTGGGAAGAGACATCAAAATCACCAATAATAGCACTACTTGGTTTTTCTCTCTCATGGGTTTACTTTGATCGGACAGCTATATTTTTGTCAACTAAGCTACGTTACACTAACACACTGTGAGTCAAGGATGTGGAAGTCTATATTATCTGTAAACATTAACGATATAGTACCGTCCCTGAAAGAGGAAACCGTGTTTGGTATGTTTCAATAGAACGTCAACATTATCATCAGATACAGTTTCAACCTAGTCAGATCGCTAGAGCGTATGTTAAATATATAACGGTTTTAACGAAAAGGATATACTATGAACGAACATGTCTTCCTCACTGAAGGAGACGATCATTTTCATGACAAACTCCCCGTCTGCATCCTTCTGGAACTGGCCTTGAATTACCCAAAGCATCTTTCTAATTTTCTCGAAGAAATTATCCAGAAATTTTCCTTCACAGATACATGTCCGGAGGCTCTTGTCAAATATTTGAGACTGGCGTAATGGATAAATATCTTAGAGATTATCACACGTGTCTGTCAGATACGAGTTATCGTGCAAATTGATCGAAAATGAAATAGGCTAATTATAATTCAAACGCTCGAGTGAAAAGTGTTTTGAAGTCGTTTTGACTCATTGCATGTGATTGAAAAAAGATCGAAGGTTACACTAACATGTAGTTATCTCGTATTGTTTCATGAATATTTATATGTGTACTGATTTTGTTTTCAAAATAGCTCAGTTGCACATTCTCTAGTTCACGTTTGTTTCGTGGTTGTACACTACATGTAGTAAACGAATAATGTTTGGTTACAATTTACCACGTTTACAATCTATTGGAGTTTAAATTACAGTTAAAATTTCAGCAGTGTGGTTTGTTTTGTTTTTTACAGTTTTACACTTTAACAGTGTTAAACACTTGACCACACTGTACGACGTATATAAAATGTAAGTTATCTATGCTAATCAAGCGCCCACTGGATTGCCAAGTCCTAGGTTGTCCACAGAGCACACTAGTATGACAGCTGTTGGCTTGTATGCTTGCTGAAATATATTTCCTCCTTATTTCAAACGACTAACAGTCACTCGTGGAATGCCATATAGAAAACACAGTGTGTCAAGGTCGGTTTCTCATGTTGAACATGTCAGTGACAGCGTACAAACATCACGAGTTGGCGCTATTAGTTATTCATATGACGTCATCAGCTAATTTGTGCGAGCCTTGCTATCAGTCGAAATTACCACATCAATGCGGTGGCAGCAAGCGCCATATCAGAAGTTCATCATTTTGAGTCACCAAGAAGCACATTATGACTTCGAGGATCGTTAACTTATAAGGTTAATGCGACTCGCTTTCAGCAAGAAATTCCCAACACCGAGGTAAATTCCTGAACAGTTGAGAGTGAGAACATAACCCAATGCGTCAGTTTGATATCCGGGTGTTATAACATCTGCAAATCAGGATATTGAATTAACACTGAACAACCATTATTGGCATGAGTATAGTTGCGGAAGTAGAAGCAGTTGTATGAATATAGGTAAATTTCCGTTAAATATTTCCAATTTTTCTACTTTTGTCTTTTTAGCAGAGTATACTTCCAGGTATATGCTTCTGACCACATGATCTACGTTAGGGTATTTTGTGTACCCCTCTGACATACGTTCCAGTCTAAGTAAACTTATAGGCTCAGTATTATTCGTTACCCTGCTATACTGTACAGCAGGTATTAACATCTGCACTTTACGATGAATGTGTAATCTCAAATTTAAACAGGTAGTAATTTTAAGATGTGTAGTCATGGCTGGTTGCCATTGGAAACGTGCCAATGTACACTTGTCAGCCGTATACACAGGTACTTGATCTATCAGTTGTAGTCCAGTTTGGGGAAACGTAAGTGGCTGAGTGGGTTAGAGCGCTGTCTCTGTGACCAGGCGATCTGATCAATACTAGAACCGTTACTTCACTAAGATAGTGTAATCCTAAATATAGCACACATTATGACACTCTGTACAGTGTAGGTATGCATTTGTGCGCTCACTACGCGAAAACTTCTTGAACAAATTGGGGGAAATGTGGCAAAACGTACATACAGTTTAGGATGTAGCCAATAAAATACTGTTAAGAAAGTTTTGGCTAAATAGATATGTTGTATTCCCGGTATATTCATTAGATAGACATGAAACTGATTTGGTGTAACTTAACTAAACATTGTAAAGATTCCTGAGGTGTTTCTTCCAATATTATTTTGGTGTTGTCTTTGCAATTTCAGTTCGTGATGGTCTAAGTGTTACACTATGACAAATTACGACAAATAGAACCTGGAGGTCATGAATTGTAATTGTTAAAATGTCTTTGCCAAACACAAGGATGTGGGTTTATGTTGGTAGTCTTTAAATCTGTTAGGTAACTAAGTTATAGAAATACTGTTTCTGGGTTTGAGGTCAAAGTAGTCCACTGTGTAACCTATGTGACAGTTTGCCCACATTGTCTGTGTCAACATTAACGTAGCATAGCGGCGATCTTCTCTCGTTAGTTGTTAAAGCAAACGCCGTGAACTGTCTGAAGCGTGGCACAACCAGTTATCACTGGATTCACTGGACGCCATTAATTCGCGTGTCAAGGTAATATGATCAGAACAGCAGCAGAACGATCTGCAATTAATATTTCATGATATCTTCTTGTGTTGTGTTCATAGTGTGTAAGAGTTACAAATCAATATTAAGACATTTGCCTACGGTTGAAATGTTGTACAGACACCGAAGAAGCCTGAGACTATCTTTGTCACAAGACGGTATTTTTAGGCGTAATGTGTCAAATTCTATTGTTTGTCTATTTACGTTCCAGTTGAAGATACTATTTATCCATCTGATATATATTCGTAAAGGCAAAACATATTTGTCAACAAGTAATGTCACATGAATTACTCTACACTTAAGTGCATTTTGGTCGAAACAATAATTACAATCAGATAAAACCTATATGTAGAAATGGTGATTGCTGATGTGCTTTCTGCTGTTAAATTGTCTCAAACAACAAGCTTTAACTATCACTGGAGCGGCCTTGCAGTAAAATATGTTCGCTAAGCACGCCACAGACTCGAGTTCCACATGGAGATCTCACTCCTTCCCGACACGGAATCACAGTCGTCTGTACATTGTGGATATTGTCAGGAAGAAATTCACCTTGGTTGAGATAATTCTTTCTTATAACAAGGCATTCAACAGTTTCTAAAACAATCAAGGATGTGGAACATTAGTCTTAATTTAATGACATCAATTAAATCAAAGCCAGCAAAGCTGATCTTGTCGGGGTTTTTTTACATAAAAAGCAATTAAATTCTTAATATCATAGAATTCTCTGTCCTTATTTAAACTAATGTGATTACTCTCCCAAAAAAAGAAACGCATATAGGAATTTCAACTGTATTTGTATGTTTATTTTGAAACATCTTGTAGGCTTTATGAGTCAATGAAATATAGCGAAATTG